TGAGTTTTAACACTTAAAGCACTCAAGATTCTGGAGGAGGCAGTGGCATGATTCAAATCTAGATCTACCTTGCTCTGGCAATCTCATTCCATTCAGAATTATATCTCCAAATACTAACTGGTTCTCCACAAAAGAAGGTTCAGTGGCAAAGAAGTCAAGTGACATCTGATGCCCCTAACTTTGCAGTTACTGTGGCAAATGAAGCTCCAAGAAGTCTTGTGGTCAAGGAAGCCAATGGCTTTGCAAAGCCCGCTGTTACCTAAAGAAGTGCACATGCAACCCTTCCTGTGCAGAACAACTTTGAGGTTGTAAGCAGCCAGGGATGGTGGTTAAGAGCTCAGGCTCTACAGTCAAGTCTGCCTGGCTAGCTGGAAGTGGGCAAGTTACCCAACTTCTTACTGTCCTTTTCTGCACAGTGAAATGAGAAAGGTACTTATCTGCTAAGAGCTGTGAGGACTATAGAAAGAGAAGATACATTAGGTTGGCACAAGAAGGGTTCCTGGCCAATGCCAGGAATTTTGTGATGTGAGGGACAAAGGCGAAAGACAAAGTCTGTCTATGCTGACCATCATTACCTGCACACATTGGACCAAGGAGTCTTTCCTTTGTTCTTCTGCTATTCTGGGAGGATGCCCTTTGGCACCTGGGTCTGAGAAGGGCCATTTGTCCAACACAGTTGGCAAGGAGGGGTGTGACTTTAGCAGTCCAGAGGAGTCCCCCAGGGCCTGGCTGCTCAGCAGACTGTCTTCTGCAGAGTTCCGGGCACATATGAAGTTGTGTGGGTTCTGGCCTTCAGGGGCCCCAGACCTGTGGAGGGCAGCCCCAGAAGGAAGCTGGCTTTGGCTGGAAACTGATGGGAGGGAAGCTGGCCCATTACTGTCTGACACTTCTAAAGAGCTCTGTCCCTCAGCAGCCCCAGTGGGCAGAGTCACTAATGTGGGCATGGTGCCTAGATATGAAACCAAACTAGAAACTTGTGTCAGCCGAGCAGGAAGGGCAAGATACTCCTCGTCACTGTCCACCTCCTCTTCTGATTTCCATCCAGACTCCATTGGGGCATTGCGCAGGACACTCTTGCTGGCCCTCTTTTCCCTCTCTGGCCTGGGTAAGGGCCACTCTCTGTCTCTTGTCCTCATTTGGGAAAAGTCCAGCTTGAGCTGCTTGCCCACAGGTAGCCGATGTTTTGTGCCCCTCAAGCTTGTCTCTCTACCTTCCCAAGCAGCATCCCCATGGTCAGGGGCTTTAGGTGTTGATGCAAGCTGGCTTCGAGGTACTCCCTGCTTCTGGAGTACTCCAGAGGGCCACTTCTTAGGGCTTGGTTCTCTGGGCCCACAAAATGGTAAGGTGGGGGCCTCTGCTAGTGGGCAACCAGGGAAGACATTAACAGGTGACTTGAGAGTGCTTGTAGGGGAGACAGAGAAGCTATCCAGGTCTATGCCAGAGTCCTGCAGGACAACAGGGTCAGCCACTGTGTGGCTGTCAAGTTGCTTTGGGAGCTGAGGCCCAGGGCGCAGTGGGTAAGTATAGTCAAGCAGGTCTTCATACTCTTTATTTGGGTTCCAGAATGGGGAGAGGCGGTCAGGAGAAGGAGGCAGGGAATCTGGCAGCACACAGGCCCAATATTCAGCCTGGAAGGAGAGGCGCCTCCTGCCCAGGCCAGCAGTATCACCCCCCGGGGCTGCAGGCTGCGATGACCACTGGAGCCGAGGTCCTGCCGCCCCTGCAGTGGGAGGCTGCTTGGGGATGGCCAGCTCCAGGGAGGAGGCAGCCTTGGCAAGGGAGCCACTCTGAGGTTCTGCCTTCTCTTGGTATGCCTGAAGACTGCTGCCCATGGAAGAAGCAGAGACATTACTGCTGCACAGGCGAGGGGCTGTGGCACCAGGGCTCACCATGGACTTCCGTTGTGACAGGAAAGAGACACCTGAGATGAGAGGCTGCTGGCTGAGGCCCAGCACCTGGGGCGAATCAGCTGGGGATGAGTCACCTCCAGTATCAGCATCATGTCCTGAGCAAGGGGCTGCAGTTCTGGGTGTGTTAATAATTTGAGGTAACCCCTGGGAGGCAGGAAGCCTTATCTCCTCCACCTGCAATAAGAGGGAGGAAAAGATAGTCAGGTGTAAATAATCGAACACTCAAAAAAAAAAAAAAGAAAACCCAGAGCTTTACTGTGGACCAGGATGATACTGAGGGAAGAACTCAAAATGAAAACGCCTTGACCCAAGACAAAAATCAGATGAAGGAGCCTATAATCCCAGCCCTTAGGAGGCTGAGGCATACAGACTGTCCCAAGTTCGAGATGGGCTTGAATGACATAGTTCAAGGCCAGCCTGAATTTTATAGTGAAATCCTATATCCAAAAAACCAAAAATCCCCAAACCACCACCACCACCAGAAAAATGAGAAGGATTTTTCTTTTGGGCTGGCTCAGGCTGTCTTAAAGGCGAGTAGGGTGTGGATGTAGAGCTGAGAATCAAATCGAGGTTCCCTGTACCTGACTTGAGTTTGCCCAAGCAGGTGCTTTAAACAACTGAGCTAACCTGCAAAGCCCCCAAAAACTTGAGAAGGATTTTTTTGTTTGTTTTTTCACTACCAGGAAAATGAGCAGGTGCTACTAGTGCAGCCCCAGAACAACCTCCATCTGGAAGTCTTTTCCCTGTCCTTGGGTCTTTCAAAAGTTCTTCCTCCATGGTACATTGTAAGCATGCAGAACTGAGGCAGTTTTATCATGCTGAAGCTGAAAACACCACACACCCTTGGGGCAGCATGTCCTGGGCAGGGTAAAGCCTCAATCACCATTGCTGATAGGAGATCCAGGTCTAGCAGACCCCACCAGGCTGCAGCCCGCCAGGGGTAACTGAACACTGGTTTAATGAGTCACTCATCTCAGCTTCCTCATTTTGAATTTTCAGGCAGGACATCAGAATGATTAAGGGACAGAATGATTAAGACCAGGCAGATCTGCAGATCCTAACTGCCAACTTCCCTGAGTCTCACTTCATACACCGGCTTCCCCAACTCTTCCACTGTATGGCAGCTGGGGAAAGATATAAGATAGTCGGGAATGCTGGCATGTACTCCCAAGGACAGCACTGCCGCAGACAGCAGTCCCATTTGCTTTAGTACCCACCTGGCTTCCTGCAGAAAAGTCTCCAGACCCTGTGATGGCAGGAGGAAACAGGTTACTGAGGGCAGGCGTTGGCCCATCAGCTTCTACTACTCTGCTGGCCACACTGGCCTGTGGCAGGTAAATTCCAGAGGTGCCACTCGGGTCAGCTTCAGCCCAGCAGGCAAGAGCAGGTAGCTCCTTTGTCCTGCATAGAGGAGAGGCAGGCCCTCCCTCCGCTTCCGGGCAAGGTAGCTGCTCTGGCTCAGGGCCCTGAGCCTTTGTGTTTCCATGTGCTTCCAGCTCTGCCTTTTCTTCACCCAGGGCCATCGAGCTGTGCCTAGGTCAGGGCTCCCCTGAATCCTTCAAGCTCCCTACAAAATGGGGAAGGGATTAGTATGTTGGTTTTTAATAAGTAAGGCATTATTTATTTCTTGGTCAAAGGAAAACAGATTACAAATGGTAACTATATTTCCTCAAGGGAGGAAGGTCAAGCTTTTTTTTCTCCCCTGGACCTTTCCAAAGGGAATGCAAAAGATGGACAGAATTTTGTCCTCTGTTTTCTAGTAGCTGCTACCACCTGCAACAACAGGCATGAGGACAGTCATGTAGGTGCTGCTGTGCACAGGCATGGCTGGCCTGCTGTGTGCTGAGCAGCAAGGCAGTGGTACAGAAAACTTACCACTACAGATGGGTCTGCACACATATAACAGTGTGCTGAGTCATCATGGTGGCAAGTGAGCAAGGCGTGGGGATCAAGACCAATGACATGCTGCTCCTAAACTAACTTCTATCTTCTTCCCCACTCTCCAACTTCCTCTTCTGCCTGCACCAAGTCTTCCTCAATCATCGCCTGTTATGACACTGACACTGTACTACAGTGTACTATAAACTCCACTCCCAACCCAGCCCAATAATTTCTTTGTTCTCCTACCTCCTCCCCAAGGATTTTTGAGTCTCTCTGGCAGCCCTCTCATGCCAAGCAATAAAGGATTGCTTTACTTCTCTCCCTCTTCTCTTTTGCACCAGAGAAAAGACCCTTACCATCTGGTACCATGACTTGGATCTTCAGGGCCTTTGCCTCCCAGGGCCACTCCTGGTTTAAGCTTTCCCCAGCACTGGGCCACCCTCTCTCATCCCTTCCTCTGTCACTGCCAGCCTTCATCCAACACCAATCTACCTAAATTCTCACAGGTGAGCCAGGAGTTTCTGCCTTGGAGGCCCACATTAGGACTCCCCTTGATCCATGCACCCCCATTCCCTCAACAGGCTGTTCCTCTGTCATATGGGTGATGACCCATGAGGACCAACAAACATTTCTGTGTCTGATATGGTTTGTGTCTAGTTGTCCCCCACTTCTAGCGTTGGTGATTAACTCATGATCCACTGAGATTATGGGTGTGAGTGCTACACCCAACTAGCTTGAATGCAATGTAAGGGAGACAGACTTGCTCTTTGTTGCCGCTACTCCTCCCTTTTGTCCTCTCTGCTCTTTGCTGTCTCCATGAACAGATGCTCTCTGCCATGTGCCACTCTTCCTTGGAGCCAGCCAAGTATGGACTGAAATCTCCAATAACTGTGAGCTAAATAAACCTTTCCTTCTTTCATTTTGGTTGTCAGTTATTTGTCTCAGCAAGGAGAGAAGAGTCACAGAGAATGTCACATCCCAAAAAAGGGATGACTCACTCTGGGGTTGTGCATAGCCTTTGGCTCACCTTTAATTCAATCACTATGGAAAATATTTTCCAACCCCAAAGCACACACCACTCAGGTATAACACCCTAGATCACTGGGAGAGTCAAACCAAAATGACTGATTTTAAAAAACTTTTGCTCTGGCAATGGCAAATGGTCAGATTCCTTACAAGCCTTTACTGCTCTCAGGGTGCGCCCTCTCCCTCTTTCAGGCATGTCAGGTGACCCAAATACTTTTGGCTTGCTCCACCTTGCCAACTGCCCACCCACCTGATGCCTCTCCAGACTCCCTTGATGTTCCTACTGCTCTTGCCACTCCACCATACCCACAAGCCCAACCTCCTCAGTCTCCTCAGCCAGATCTCCCTATGCTGTCTCCATCTCACCTCTTGCCCCTCCTCCACTCTTCTGTCACCATTTTCTCCTTCTGCACACCGTACTCTTGTCTCAGCCCACCCACCCTTGCCATCTTGCTGCCAGTTGAGTCCCCCAGCCCCCTGCCCTCTTGTACTCAGCTGCCACTTTCTCAGTCCCAACCTCTGTTCCCCCTCCAGAAACAGGCCAGTCCCAAAGGGTTGGTTCACATTCATGTCACTTTCATCCTCTGATCTATCCCAGATTTCTCATTGGTTAGGCTCCAGAACGCCAATTCGTCACTAATTCCTATGATCTCTTAAAGATCTATATGCGCTCCTCACCTCTAACTTGTCCTCCCAGTAAATGATCTGGCTCTGGCAGGCTGCTCAGAAGGAAGTGGACCAGAGAGAGCTAACCACCCTGCAGGTACAGCTGTAGTTCCAGATGTGACCCCTAGTGGGACTCTCAGGGGCCCGTTGGCTCAGCCTGCATGGCCACTATGGCTGCCTGACTGCAGGACTTAGGAAAAGTTCACACAAGGCCACCACTTACCAGAAACTCCAGGAACCCACCCAGGGCCTGATGAAAACCCCACCAAATTTCTTCTTCACCTTACAGACACCTGAACCAAGCATACCTATGTTGACCCTCAGTCTCGAGGACAGGACCCTTATTAACTCCTATTTCATTTCCCAGTCTGCTCCTGACATTTATGCTAAATTAAAACAGGTCTTGGCCCCTCAGACCCCCCAGGGAAACCTACTTAATCTGGCTTTTCATGTCTTTAATAAAGAACATTTAAAATAGGATAAAGAACAGCATGCCAGGGCTGGAGAGATGGCTCAGTGGTCTAAAGCACCTACTTGGAACAAGCTTGGCAAAGCACAGGGACCGCGGTTCAATCCCCCAGCACCACATGCCAGCCAGCGCCGCCCCCAGGTGGGCTGAGCTGGCCACACACACACACACACACACACACACACACTAAAGGAATAAATAAATAAATAATTAAAAAAAAAAAAAAAAAAAAAAAGAACAGCATGCCAATTAGACTTAAATGCTAATTTTTGGCTGTGGCTCTCACCATTTCAAGATCTCAGGGTTATCAACAATGTAGTTACACCAATCCACCCAGGGCTCCTATTAGAGCCAAAACTAAACAACACGGTGCCACCTGAGTCCCTTTCAGAGAATGCTTCAAGTGTGGCAAAGAAGGACACTAGGCATGAGCCCGTCCCAACTTGCAGCCATCACTGAGACTTTGTCCCATCTGGAAGCTCAAGGGTCACTAGCAGTGCGACTGCCTTGTCTGTCAGAGAGCGGTTAAGTCATCCCATTCCTTGCTCTCACAGGAGATCTCACTGTAGCCACTGGGCTCATCAATAACTGACCTGTTCAGTCGCACCGCTGCAGAACACTGACAGGGCCCGGGTGCAGAGCCCTCATTGAGGCACCTTTGTCTGAGCCCCAGCTCCTGCTGTACATCTCAGGTACGTCACTCTCTCTCTTATGGACATGGGGAGCACATATAGTGTTCTTCCTAAGTTTTCAGGATGCTGCACTCAAGCTACGGTTCTCATGTGGGATTAATGGCTCACCTACACAAGCCCTCCAGACAGGACCCTTCCCCTGCTGATTCTACATACTTTTTTTTTAAACTCAGTTTTGTCATTCCAACTTGCCCCAGACCCCTCTTGGATAGGGATCTCCTCCAAAAACTCCACTTCTCTTTCACCTTCTCTCTTTCCATAGCACTCATTCTCTAAACTTAACCTCTGTACACTGCCAGTTCATCTCTTCCTCTTCCTCCTTCCCTGGTTGATCCCATAGTTTGGGACACCTCTAGTCCCACTTATGCCATCCATGCTACAACTGCCTATTCGCTCTACAATACTCATGTTTGTGCACTCAAACATAATGGCTGTCACCATTTAGTTCAAGATCTCAGGGTTATCAACAATGTAGTTACACCAATCCACCCAGCAGTGTCAAGCTTCTGTACCATGCTCTTACATTCCTTCCTCCACTATCCATTTTATACTCCTGGACCTCAAAGATGCCTTCTTCACTATCCCCCTATACCCTGATTATCAGGACCTCTTGGCCTTCATGTGGACAGACCCAGATACACTCTGGTCCCTACAGTTCACATTGATGGTCCTGCCTCAAGGGTTCAGGGATAGTCCTCACTTCTTTAGCCAGGCCCTGGTAAATGACCTGGCAATCATCAACCTCAAACCTAGCATTCTCTTTCAGTATATAGATGGTCTTTTGTCTGTTTCCCCTCCCATGCTGCAGCTATACAACATACAACTACCCTTCTCTTCAGTTGTGGATATAGGGCTTCTCCTGCCAAAGCATAAATAGCTTTACCAAAGGTCAAATACCTAGGACTTAACCCTCACCTCCCACTACTTGCTTGGTCACTGCTGATCACAAAGCCCTCCTCTGCAACCTTCAAGTGCCTACTACAAAACAACCTCTATCTTTCCTTGGCCTAGCTAACTTCTTTCACCTTTAGATTCCTAACTTTGCTTCCCTGGATCAACCTCTCTATGAAGCACCCAAGGCTCCTTGCCAGAAACTCTCAATCCTACTACTCCTGTATATTCTTCCTTTCACAAGCTACAAGAGGCCTCTTAAAGGCCCCAGCTCTCACTCTCTCAAACCCAACCCAACCCTTTATATACTACCTCTCTAAATCACAATGCAGTAGGAGTATTGGGACACAAAAATTGATCTTCATTTCAAGCAGTAGCATATTTATCAAAAGAGCCAGACAACACAGTAGGTGGATGGGCCCCTAACATCCTTCCCATCCTAGGTCCTCATCATGATCATTCTCTTGTTGCTTATAGCACCTTGTCTTATTAAACTGCTTCCCTGATTTCCTTCAATCCAAGCTAAGAGCTTTCGCCACCAATGAGCTTCTCATTTTCGCCAACATCCCTGGCCATAAGCTTCCACGTTGGCCTGACTTGTCATCCCAACAACCACACTGCCACTACCACAATGCACTGTGAGTAGGAAGTAGCTAGAGAGAGCTGTCGCCCCTTTTAACAACAGTACGAAAGGCATGATGGGTCTGCACCCACAGAGCAGTCTGCTGGGTCATGGTGGTGAGTCAGCATGGTGTGGGGATCTGAGACCAATGACATGCTGCTCCTAGACTAACTTCTGTCTTCTTCCCTGCCCCCCCACCTCAACTTCCTCTCTTGCTTTTTGCCTGCACCAAGCCCTCCCTAATCAGTACATGTTAAGACACCATACTGCCCACACAAACTTTAGCCCCAACCCAGCTTGATAAACTGTTTCCCTGCCCC